CACCGAATGAGACCTAATGCCCTAGTTTTCAAGTTTCTAGACCAAAAATTCGCGTAAAAGCTCGTTTTTGATGTCGGAATCGCTTCAAAATGACTCTGAACCCCAGAAAAAAGTCTATTTTTTCACCGAATATAGTCATGTTTATACTCATTCTGAAGCTCTAAACGCGCGCCAAATTCAAATTCTAGGCTCGAAAATGAGTTTTTTGGGTCTCAAATAGCTCATAAATGAGCGTTCTGGCTTGAAATTCTCGGATTTTTGGGTCTCAAAGTAGCTGAAAATGGTCCAAAATTCATAGAATTTCGACTCACTGATCAAATTATCTCTCATTTTCTCGACCAACGGCGTCAGATCCTCGCTGCTCAACTTCTTCTCGCCAACCAGTCCCTTCAACATTCCAAACCATCCACCAGTCTGTTTGACCACTGTCTGCGTCTCCTCCTCCTCCTCTCCCTCGTCATCCGACTCTTTCAGCGATCTCAAATCACCGCGAAGTGATCCGATCTGATTTTTCATCGATTCCACAAATCGATTGTCCTCTTCGGCTGCAGCAGAGTCGTCGTTCTGGAAAATATATGATTTAAGGATGAGCAATTCGACAATTTAGGCCAGGATAGGCCATTTTTGACTATTTTAAGCCAATTTTAAGGTCATTTTTAGGTCATTTTAAGCCATTTCAAGCTGTTTTTAAGCCATTTTAGACAACTTCAGGCATTGTTTTTGTCATTTTAAGCCTACTTTAGGTTATTTTAAGCGTCATTTTCGGCTATGTTAGTCGATCTGTAAGACCATTTTTAGGTTTTACAGATCATGTCATATTTCTGGACTTTTTAGTTCGTTGCAGGCCGTTTTTGGGCTACGTTAGGCGATTTTAGACAGTTTATGGCCATTTTCAGGTCATTTCAGGCCATTTTTAGGTCATTTTAAGCTAATTTTAAGACAATTTTAGACAATTTCAGGCATTTTTTTGTCATTTTAAGCCTAATTTAGGTTATTTTAGGCGTCATTTTCTCGATCTTAGATCATTTTTAGGTCATTTCAGGCCATATTTCTGGGCATTTTAGTTCGTCGCAGGCCGTTTTTGGGCTACGTTAGGCGATTTTAGACAGTTTATGGCCATTTTCAGGTCATTTCAGGCCATTTTTAGGTCATTTTTCAAGTTTCTTGTGCCATTTTTCAGCCTTCAATGTCCATTTTAAGGTCATTTTTGGCCACCTTTAGGTTATTTCAGACAATTTTTGGGTCCTTTTAGACCATTTTAGCCTATTTCTGGACCGCTTCAGATGATTTTAGGCTATTTTAGACCATTTTTAGACCTCTTTTCGAGTCTTTTGGACCGTTTTTAGGTCATTTTTCGAGTTTTTCAGACGAATTTGAGCTCAATGTAAGCCATTTTAGACTAATTTAGACCATTTCTCTCACCTCCTTCTGATCGGATCGATCCAACGACTTCAAATCCGACGGTTTTCCACTCAACGCCCACACTCTCGCCTGTTTGCCCTTTGGCTTCGGTGACGTCGTCTGACTCAGCTCCTCGCCCTTCTTCTTGGCTCCGCCCCCTCCGATGCGCTTCTTGAACATCTCCTCACGCCTTCTGAGCACCTCTTCATCTGGAGATCCAGGCGGCGACGTGGATGTGTACTCCGAATCGGATCCCGAATCGATTTGCGCTGATTTTATCGATTTTTCCGTCGATTTTTGGTTTTTTTCGTCTGGTTTCTTGTGTCCCGGACGGCTGACGATCAGGGAATCGATGGTTTTTTGGGATTTAGCCGATTCCTGGAACGATTTTGGCTTCTTGACGATGGATTCCGTGGCACGAGCTGATTTGGCCGCTTGGGAGAGTAGAGAATCGAATGTGTCGTCAAAGGTACTGTAGATGTTGGATGGAGGGGTTGTCAGAGCCTGGAATATGGAATTTTTGGGTCAAAAGGCCGGGAAAATAGCATGAAATTGGCTAAAAACGGTCAAATATGACCTAGAAATCCAATTTCTGGAATTTGTAGGCCACCATAATCGAAATTTAGGTCATTTTAAGCCAATTTTAAGCCAATTTTAGGTCATTTTAAGCCAATTTAGGTCATTTTCAGCCATTTTAAGCTAATTTTAAGCCAATTTTAGGTCTTTTTAAGCCATTTTGAGCTAATTTTAAGCCAATTTTAGGTCATTTTTAGCCAATTTCAAGCCAATTTAAGCTAATTTTAAGCCAATTTAGGTCATTTTAAGCCATTTTGAGCTAATTTTAGCCCAATTTTAAGCCATTTTAAGCTAATTTTAAGCCAATTTTAGGTCATTTTTAGGTCATTTTAAGCCTTTTTTACGTCATTTTAAGCCAATTTTAAGCCAATTTAGGTCATTTTAAGCCATTTTGAGCTAATTTTAAGCCAATTTAAGCCAATTTTAGGTCATTTTTAGCCAATTTCAAGCCAATTTAAACTAATTTTAAGTCGTTTTTAAGCCATTTTAAGCTAATTTTAAGCTAATTTTAAGCCAATTTAAGCCAATTTTAGGTCATTTTTAGCCAATTTCAAGCCAATTTAAACTAATTTTAAGCCATTTTGAGCTAATTTTAGCCAAATTTTAAGCCATTTTGAGCTAATTTTAGCCTAATTTTAAGCCATTTTAAGCTAATTTTAAGCCAATTTTAGGTCATTTTTAGGTCATTTTAAGCCTTTTTTACGTCATTTTAAGCCAATTTTAAGCCAATTTAGGTCATTTTAAGCCATTTTGAGCTAATTTTAAGCCAATTTAAGCCAATTTTAGGTCATTTTTAGCCAATTTCAAGCCAATTTAAACTAATTTTAAGTCGTTTTTAAGCCATTTTAAGCTAATTTTAAGCTAATTTTAAGCCAATTTAAGTTTATTTTAAGCCATTTTTAAGTCATTTTAAGTCGATTTTAAGCCAATTCAGGTCATTTTAAGCCATTTTTAGATCATTTTGAGCTATTTTTTGAATGTTTTCAGCTATTTTCATGATTTCAGGGCATTTTTCGTCGAATTCTGGTTCATGTTGTGCTTATTTGTGTAAATGGCTTAGCAATTAAAAAAAATTCGGCCATCAGACCTCTTTCTATGCGATTTTGCACAGAATGGCCTAGAAAAACGAAATTCGTGGTTTCTAGGCCAAAATCTATGCTTAAATCCATTTTTAAAGGAGAAAATGGCCGAGGAAATCAATTTTAGAGCTTTTCAGGCCACCGAATTCATTCTTCAGAGGAAAAAGCTGGAAAATTGAGCTAAAACAGACTTTCGTCTTCGGTGGCCGAGTTTTTTGAAATTCCTTGGCCATGAGTCTCAAAAAGCTGTTTGGAGCCCAAAAACTCAAAATTGCAGATTTCTAGGCCAAAAAATAGCATTTTTAGACCGATTTTGGGTTATTTTGGGTCATTTTTCAATAAAATGGCCTAGAAATCCAATTATAAGGTTTCCAGGCCAAAATTTAAGATTTTTAGACATTTTTCGATGAAAATCTCACCGTTTCATCCCTCAAACTGTCGGAAAACGCATTTCTGAAGGTGTCGCCAACTAATCCCAACAATTTTTCGGCATAGTTCAAATTGACGATAGTTTGATAGATAACCTGAAAAATGCAATTTTTTGCCTTAAAATTTCCAAAATTTTCATCAAAAATCACCAGAAAAACGACATTATACTCGTTGTCCAGCTGAAATTTCATTGTATAATTCCCATATTTCTTCTGCCCATTGTTTCCTCGCTCTTCCATCAGCGTTCCTTTAATCAGCTCATTATTGATGGCTTCCGTGAAATTTACGTCGCTTTCCTGCAAAAAATTAGATTTTTTAGCTTTAAATTGCCTAGAATCAGCTGAAAATTTGAAAAAATTGGCTGAAAATTGAACTTTTTTCAATTTAAGCTATTTTTGGCAGTTTTTCAGTGATTTTGAGTGAAAATCAGCATTTCCAGCCAAATTTTTAAGCCCTAAATCGCATAAAAACAAGCAAAAATAGCTTGAAATTCGAGAAAATTAGACAAAAATTGTTTTTTTTTTTTGAATTTTCGCTAATTTTGGCACTGTTTACAGTTTTAAAAAACCGACAAACCTGATAATTCCACAAGCAGACGCCTCCTTTTGTGAAAATCGAAAAAAGTTCAATCATTTCTGCTCAATTTTCAGCCGATTTCAGCGATTTTCAATGGCTGAAACTGCAAAACACGTGTAGTTTTGTCGTAAAGTCCCGCGCATTGATGGTTCTGGTGCGCCGCATTCGACGACACATTGCGGAGGAGGAATTGGAGGGAAGGGGGAATATTTGAAAACGGAAGGGGGGGAATAATTATTGATTTTCGGGGAAATTAGCTGGAAAAATCAGTTTTTCTTTACTTTTTCACAAAAATAGCCGGAAAACAACCCGAAAACTATTACAAAGTACTATAATATTTGGTTTTCAGTTAGATTGTGAAAGAAAAGTAATCTTTGAGCTCAATTATCTGTTTTCCTGTAAAAGATATCAAAAAGTTGCCAACTCATAAAATGTTTATCATAATATCACAAACATTTTATCAATTGACCTCTTATTGATATCATTTACAGAGAAAGAGATAAAAAGTCTTGGAATAGAAGAGTCTAAAATTTTCGAAAATTCCAGAAAAAAAGGTGCAAATTGTGTTCAAAATATTGCAAATTTTATGGGAAACTTGAATTTCAAGCCGAAAAAGTTAAAAATGCCATTTTGCCCATATTATGCCCACTTTTTGCCCAAATCAAGGCTGTGGACCGCCGTTGACCAATCAGACAGCTAGAAAAACCGCCTTTGATGACCTTGGTACCATGGAAGACCACCGAAATTGCCAACTTTAAGCCCTTATATCTCAGTTCCTGTAAGAGATATGAAAAAGTGATAAACTGATAAAATGTTAATCATAATATGGGCAACATTTTATCAATTTATCACCTTTTGATATCTTTTATAGGAATTGAGATATATGCGTTCAAAATGGTAAATGCCAATGAGATCGAGCACTTGACTTTCTTTTTTCTTGGTTTCTGTAAAAGATATCAAAAATTTATCAACTGATAAAATGTTTATCACCATATCAGCAACATTTTATCCGTTGAAAATAGTTTCGTTTCTCAAACAGGAAACGAGATCAATAGGGCCCCCCGGCTCTCTGGGTATTTAAAATTTAGCTTAAAATTAGAAGATATACAAAACTTTTTAAAAAAATGTTGCTGATATTATGATAAACATTTTATCATTTTATCATTTGAAAAGTCGAGTACAGAACAATGGGATACAGAACAACGAGACAAAATCAACAAAAAGTTCAAAAATTTCAGAAAATTCCCGATTATCCAGGTTATTCCTTCCAGCGATGAGCACACGAATTGTTGGCACACCGATAGAAGATGGTCATCGGTTCGTCGGCGGAGCGCGTTTGCAGCTGCATGAAGTACGCACGTTCGTGAGAGCACAGCGGACACCGTTCTGCAACACAAAATCGATTGAATTTCAGATTTTTTCCAATTTTTTGGGGTCTGGAAATATCCTAAAATGACCCAAATTTTCTAGGTCATGACCTAGTTTTTTCTAGGTCATGACCCAATTTTTTTCAGGTCATGACCCAATTTTTTCCAGGTTATGACCCAATTTTGATATCAATTTTTATCGGTATTTCAAAATTTGAAAAATGTAAAAAATTTTTTTTTCAATTTTCTAATTTTTCAGAATTTTTTTTCACAGATTCCTCATCTTTATGCCATTTCGGGTCGTGGTATCAATTTTTTTCAGAATTGGACGATTTTGAAATTTTTCAAAAAAAAAATTTTGAATTTTCATATTTTTTGAACTTTTATCACAAATTCCCCATTTTCACGCCATTTCCGGTCGTGATATCGATTTTTATCGGAATTGGATGATTTTGAAATTTTTTGAAAAATCGATTTTTTTAAAGCAATTTTTAATACTTTCATTGAAGTCAGCTCTTCGAGAGCTTTGAAATGAGCCCCAACACGACTAGGCTCCGCCTACTTTGAAATTTCACCTGGGTACACGCGACGCACGACCGCGACGCGTCTGAAAAACGAAAGTGGGCGGAGCATAGGCAATATGGGGCTCATTTTGAAGCTCGCGACTTGAGAAAGCTAGCTAGGCCAATGTTGAGCCGAAAATTTCTCATTTTTTTGCTCCAACCTACCATCAGTGACTTGTGCATTCTCCCAGGCGCCCGGTCCACCCAGCACATCATCGATATCCTTGAGTTTCGGATAGATTCGACTGCTGATAGTCGCGACAATCGGACAGACGTACGGACACGCCGAACACGAGAACTGCTGACACTGCTCGCCGGTCTCGATTTGGAGCACACATCCACACTCGGGACAGAATGTTAGCATTTCGATTCTGCAATGATTTTAGATGGTTTTTTGAGGGGGGAAAATGATCAAAACTAGTGCAAAATTCGTTAAAATCGGCTGAAAAATGCCTAAAACAGCTCAACATTGAAAAATCAGAAAATCTTTAATTTTAAGCCAAACTTTACAAACTTTTTTTTCGAATTTTTTAAAGCTGAGCAATCGCTTAAAATGGTCCAAAAAAGCTTAAAAACTGCCAAAAATTGACTGAAAATGACGACAAGATTTTCGAAAATCTAGAAATTTCAAATTTTTTTTCCAACATCGAGATTTTCAGCCAAATTAGGGATTTTTCTGAAATTGAACATTTCAGTTTAAAAAATTCAGTGAAATCATGAAAATTGGCCGAAAATGAGCCTTTGATCCTGAATTCCGCTTTCTCAAGTCGCGAGTTTCAAAATGAGCCCCATATTGCCTAGGCTCCGCCCACTTTGATTTTTTAGATGCGCGTCGCGGTCGTGCGTCGCGTGCGCCTAGGTGAAATTTCAAAGTGAGCGAAGTCTAGTCGAGTTTGGGCTCATTTCAAAGCTCTCGACGAGCTGAATTCAATGAAAGTATTAAAAATTACTAAAAATCTGAAAAATCACTGTGCCTAAATTCGAAAAAAAAATCGATTTTTCAAAAAATTTCAAAATTATCCAATTCTGATAAAAAGTTTTTGACCACTTTTTGATCAATTATCATGATTTTCAGTGATTTTCAGGGGATTTTTGTGATTTTATATGTTTTTCATTGATCCAAAAATCAGATTTTTTTTTTTGAAAAATTTCAATTTTCTCCAATTTGGAAATTTCAAGATTTTTAGACTTTTTCAGCCAAATTTTGGGGGTATTTTTCTCAATTTTCAGAGTTACAGTAACCAAAATAGCCAAAATTTCAGTGTTTTCTTTTTTCATTTTAAGCTGAGCAATCGGCCCCCAAAAAGTACAAAGTTGTCGATTTTTGAGTGAAAATTTCAAAATTTTTAGGATTTTTTCAGCTAAAATATAAGAAAAATAATGCAATTTCAGGGGGTAGAAAACCTCTAAAAAGTCAATTTTTAGATAGAAAAATGATCTGGAAATTCTGTTTATTAGAGGGGGAAGAAAAGAGAAAATCAATTAAATTTCGAATTTTAATAAAAGAGAGGAGAACCACCATCACCATATTTAATTATAATTCAAGTAACTTGTAATGTTTAATAAATCATTCTATTAGAACGGCAGGGGGAGGGAAGAATTCCAGTATTTTATGGGAAAAAATTCTGGAAAAAAACGAGGAAGAAAATTACGATTTTAGGGCACATTTTCAGGAATTTCGGGCGAAAATATTGATTTTTAGAAGGATTTTAGGGGAAAATAAGCCAAAAAAAGCAGCGAGAAATATCAGACTTTTTGGGTTGAAAAATTGGTGAAAAATCGAGGAAAAATAAGCTGAGCAATCCGCCAAAAATCGAAAAATTGAGCCAGAAAATCGGGGTGTTTTCGCGCTCAAAAATGGTCAATTTTGGGTCTGAAAATCCGAATTTTCAGCTCAAAAATTCGAAAATAAGCTGGAAATTCTCATTTTCAGGTCGCAAAAAATCACTTTTCAGAGCTCAAAATATCGATTTTTAGCTCAAAAATCACATTTTCAGGTCAACAAATTCTATTTTCGGGGCTCAAAATATCGATTTTCAGCTCTAAAATCACATTTTCAGCTCCCAAATTTCACTTTTTAGAGCTCAAAATATTGATTTTTAGCTCCAAAATGACATTTTCAGCTCTAAAATTTAACTTTTTAGAGCTCAAAATATCGATTTTTGGCTCAAAAATCACTTTTTCAGGTCAACAAATTCTATTTTCGTGGCTCAAAATATCGATTTTCAGCTCCAAAATTTCACTTTTTAGAGCTCAGAATATCGATTTTTGGCTCAAAAATCACTTTTTCAGGTCAACAAATTCTATTTTCGGAGCTCGAAATATCGATTTTCAGCTCCCAAATTTCACTTTTTAGAGCTCAAAATATCGATTTTTCAACAATTTTTGGCGTAAAAATACAAATTTCAACCTTAAATTTCAGTTTTTTCGGCTCATTTTGGCTCATTTTTCGCCCAAAAACCCAATTTTCAACAAAAATCCCCAATAAAATAGCACAAAAATGCAATTAGATCTGTTGTCTCGGCTCTTGCTCCTCCTCCTCGACTCCCACCACTTCCTCTTGATGAGGGAGATCCCTGTATACGTCTTCTCCAACTTCTTCTTCTTCTTCTTCTTGCTCTCCGACGTCTTCTCTGGCTCCGGCTCCGCCGCCCACGTCTTCTCCATTGGTCACTACGTCGTCCCCGGCTCCATTGCCACGTGGCACAACTTCAATCTCCTCGGTGATCACCTCCTCTTCCACGTACTCTTGGCCATCGAATATGAATCGTTCGCCTGCAAGAAATAGACGAATTAGAGGGTTTTGAGGGCTGAAAATCGCTGAAAGTCTCCATTTTTTGAGTAAAAAACGGCTAAAAATGAGCAAAAAAAAACTGAAATTTCAGCTAAAAATCAAGAAATAAAATGAAAAAAGAAAGATTTAGGGCTGAAAATGACTGAAAATCCCAATTTTCTGGGTTAAAATGGTCTTCAAATCGTCGAAAATGGCTGAAAATCTATTCCATGGGTTCTGTAGATCCATTTCCAGGGGCGAATTTCAGCCAATTTCAGCTTCAAAAGAGCCCAATTTACAGGGTTTTGGGGCTGAAAATAACTGAAAATACTAGTTTTTAGGTTAAAATCGGTCCCTCACGGTCAAAATGACCTAATTTTTGGCTCAAAATAGACTCTAAAAGAGTGCTTACCAGTTCCAGTAGTGGTCCTCCTCGACAAGAGGTTGCCATCGGTGTCAACTTCCTCCACAACGTGATCAACCACCTCTTCGTCCTCGCCCACCATCATTTTCATCCGCTTATTGGCATTTTGGGAGCCTCTCACGCCTTGTTCCTCGTGGTGCTGCTGATGGTGTGAATGGTGGTCCATGAAGTCGCTGGAGGACGCTGAAATTATAGAAATGTTGATTTTCAGCCAATTACAGCCATTTTTAAGCTATTTTCAGACCATTTTTAGCCATTTTAAGGTCATTTTAAGACAATTTTCAGTCAAATTTTTGCATTTTAAGCCAATTTCAGACATTTTTAGCTCGTTTTCTTGCCAGTTTGACTCGTTTTTAGCTGTTTTTAGCCAATTAGGACTCACTTTAAGACCATTTTCAGCCAAATTCTCGCCTTTTAAATCGAATCTAGGGCTGTTTTAACCATTTTCTGACATTTTTAGACCATTTTCAGTCAATTTTCTCCAATTTTTAATATTTTCAGGGCATTTCAGGTCAATTTTGGCTACTTTCACTCATATAAAGCATCATTTTCAGACCATTTCCAGCCAAATTTCAACATTTTTGGGTCGTTTTTAGCACATTTTTAGCTAAAAATTCTCGTCTTTAATGGCTAATTTAGGGTGGTCATTTTTACAATTTTCAAGCCTTTTTTGGACGATTTAAGACCGTTTTCCGCCAAATTTGAACATTTTTGGGTCGTTTTTAGCCATTTTAGGCTTATTTTAAGCCTATTTTCAGCCAAATTTTTGTCTTTAATGGCTACTTCAGGGTCATTTTAACCGTTTTCAGTCAATTTTCGGCTACTTTCAGTCATATAAATTATCAATTTGAGACATTTTCAGAGGTTTTGACAGCATTTTCAGCCAAATTCACCTCTATTTGGCTGACAATTTGGACATTTTTGGGTCGTTTTCAGTCATTTTAAGCTAGTTTAGCCTCATTTTAAGCAATTTTTAGTCAAAAATTAGACATTTTCTAGTCGTAAAGTCATTCGTTTTGGGTCATTTTCAGCCAATTTTCAGCCTTTTTAGGCTCATTTTAAGCAGTTTTTGACCATTTTCAGCCCCAAATTTACCTCAATTCGGCTGAAAATTTGCAAATTTTTGGGTCGTTTTAAGCCAATTCTAGTCTTTTTAAGCGCTACCGTAAAACCTGTAATAGAAGGGCCCCCCCTGACTTTCAACTTTGAGCTCAATTATCTCGGTTTCTATGAAAGATAACAAAAAGTTGTCTACTGATAAAATGTTTAGCATGATATCAGCTACATTTTATCCGTTGACAATTTTTCTATATCTTTATCAGGAACCAAGATAAATTGGCTCAAAGTTGAAAGTCAGGGGGCCCTTCTATTAAAGGTTTTGCGGTAGTTTAGCCTATTTTCAGCCCCCCAAATTCACCTGCATTCTGTTCTCCCATCAACTCGTCCAGATGCTTTCTCATCGAAGTGATCAGGTCTGGCACGATCAACGCGACGTCCTCCGGATTCGTGGATTCCAACGTTTGAAGCCACTCGGACACGGCCTCGTGCTGTTTTCCGGGTAGTCGCGCGTCCAGCATTCGCGCGATTCGGTTTTCGATTTTTCGTCCTTCCAGACGGACGGCCTGCAAGAAATCGAACGTTTTTTGAGTGATTTTTCGTGATTTTGATCTCGATTTTGGACAGTTTTCAACACCGTTTTGGACCCGAATTTTGTGATTGATGAGGTCATAATGTGTCTGAAAATGCCCCATTTTCGCGGAATTTCAGCATTTTTAAGCCAATTTTCAGTCGAAAAAATCGCCAAAAGTAGCTCTCGAAATCGGCTGAAAATGATGGAAAAAAGACTCAAAATATCGATGATTTTTGGGGTTTGAAAACACGGGGAATTTCAGCCTGAAAATCCAAATTTTGAGAGAAAAATTTCAGAAAAATAGGCATTTTCAGCTCAAATATGTTCAATTTTGGGGCTGAAAATACGGAATTTCAGCTTAAAATAGGCATTTTCAGCTTAAAAAACATACATTTTGTGTCTGAAAATCTAAATTTTCAGCTCACAAAATTCGATAATCAGCTGGAAAATCACATTTTCAGGTCGAAAAATCAACTTTCTGGGCTCAAAATATCGATTTTTGGCTCGGAAATCACATTTTAGGGAAAGTGGAAAAATAAAAGCCAGAACTCTCTAGATTTTTCAGTCAAAAAGTACCCTTTTTTTTGAGTCATTTTTTACTATTTTAGGTCAATTTCGATCTCGATTTTGGACCATTTTTAGGAGATTGCCAAGCTCAAAATGAGCTGAAATTTTCATTCAAATCAGGCTTAAAATCAGCCAAAATCGACTGAAAATGATCGAAAAATGACTTCAAAAAAAATATATTTTCAGCCTAAAATAGCCAGTTTCAGACGTGTCGAAATTTTAAGCTGAGTAGCACGGAAAGCTCATTTTTTGGGGTGTTTTACTCGATTTTTCATGTTTTTCGGGTCAAATTAGCTCGAAAAGCTCATTTTTAGGCTTATTCGAGTCGAATTTCCATCGATTTTAGGGTAAAAAAGCCCAGAAAAAGCAGAAAATCCTACCATATTCGCCACTCTTCCAACGTCCGACTGATTATGTGCATGCGCTCGGTATCCCATTGGGTCTCCGTGATGGTGATGGTTGTGGTCCCCGTAGTACTGTACCTCCTCAAACATGTCCTCGTCAAAGTACAAATCCTCGAATTTTCGCTGGGTACGCTTTCGAGCGTTCGCCATCACATATCGTCGCATCTCGTAGGCCTGCAAAGCGGTTTAAGCTGAGCAATCGGGTGGAAAATGACTTGAAATCGGTGGGAAATCAGTCTAAAGGGGTAAAAATTGGTCTGAAACCATCTAGAATGGCCTAAAATCGCGGAAATCGTTCAAAAATGGTTCAAAAATGGCTTAAAAACGAGCCAAACTAGCAGAATATGACTCAAAAATTGTCGAATTTCGAAAGCTGAGCAATCTCATATATGGGTACTGTAGATCCATTTTCTTGGGGCGAATTTCAGCCAATTCCATACCGATTTTGACAGTTTTTCGGCGCGATTTCAGACGAATTTTGAGCTATTTTCAGCCGATTTCAGCCATTTCCAGGCTAGTTTAAGCTGAGCAATCGACGAAAAATGGCTTAAAAACGAGCGAAACTAGCAAAAAATGAGTCAAAAATCGGTTTTCAGAGCACATTATAGCTCAAAAATCGTACTGTACATCATTTTCCGACCATTTTCAGACAATTTTTGTCAAATTTTCCCAATTTTGGCTCAAAATGATTGGTTTTTCACCAAATTTCGGCTTGAAATAGCTCTAAAAAACGCCTAGCAGCTGGAAATCACTGAAAATTCGACTTTTGAAGGTCGAAAATCGGCATAAAATGCTCTAAAATTAGGTACTGTACATCAATTTCAGCCAATTTTAGACCAATTTTGGGGATTTCAGACTATTTCAAGCCGATTTTGGACCATTTTTCAGCCGTTTTCAGACTCAAAATTGGTCGAAAATGGTCAAAAAATTGCTGAAAATTGACTAGGACCCCAAATTGATGAAATGATCAAAAGTTATCGAAAAATGAACCTAATCAGCCAAGAAGGGGTCAAAAATCGACCAATTTCAAATGCTGAGCAATCTGATATATGGGTACTGTACATCATTTTCAGCCAATTTCAGACGAATTTTACCTATTTTAGATCGATTTGAACCGATTCTTGGGTGATTTCAGACTATTTTAAGCCGATTTTGACCATTTTCAGATGATTTTGGACTATTTTATGATCATTTTCAGCTCTTTTAACCTCTGAAAAGCTCATTTCCAACCGATTTTTCTGGAATTTTTTGGAATTTCCTGCTAGACTATTCACCCACCTCCTGACCCACCTGTTTCTTGTTGATAACCTCTCTGGGATCCGTCTCGCCCGTCTCCACGAATCTGGCTACGGTCTGAAGTGGGGAATCGCTTCTGAGGAGCTCCTGAGCCACGCTCCTCGTATCGCTGTACAGTTTCGGCGTCTTTCGCAGCTCAATGGGCGTGTCCGACAGGTAGTTCACGATGTATTGGACCAATACCGGTGATGATCGAATGCAGTTGGGCACAGTCTCCAGCCAACACACCTGGAAACATTTGAACATGAGGTGATAATAGACTCCGCCCACTTTAAGGGGTCCTGAACTTCGAAATGGGCGCTTTAAATGACTAATTTCGAGCCAAAATAAGCCTAAAATGAGCAATTTCCAGCTCAACAGGCTTTTGGAATCCCTTGAAACCCCCAAAGCTAAACTCAGCTCATCGAGAGCTTCAAAATGAGCCCAAACACGACTAGGCTCCGCCCACTTTCATTTTTGGCACCAAAAAGGGGCGGGGCTTAAAATTGAAACTACTGTAACTCGGTCAATTTAGAATTTATGCGGAATATTCAAATTGGATCGCATTTGACACGTCCCCAGCTTCAAAATGAGTATAAACAAAAATAAACTCCGCCCATTTTGATTTTTGGACCCCATAACGGGGGTTACTGTAGCTCCAAAAGTCCGCAAACACCGAATGAAGCCTAAAGCTTTAGTTTTCGAGTTTCTAGACCAAAACATCGCTTTTAAGCTTGTTCGA